ATATTGAATTCTTTTTTTTCCATTTGAAAGTGCATGTTTCGTTTTCCACGGTAACCGTCATCTGTCCCCACCGTTGGCCGCGTCTGATTCTCCTTTTTGGCTGTACTTCCTTTTGTTACCAGTTGAGTTGCTCCGACTTACAATTGCGCTTAATCCCATGCACATCCTCGCCTTGCCCACCACCCACTCAGTCCCAGCATTCCTGCAATCCTTTATCTGCCGGTCATTCCGGACCGAATTCGGTTGATCAACAGCCGGGCAGTGTGTACGGCTCAGACTCGGTAGCCACACCCCAAGGACCTTCGTTTGGTCTCATGTCACCCCAGCAGGCATATAACCCCAACACTCCGGTTGCAGCCCAAATGGTCTCCCCCGTTGGTGGCATGTCAATGGCATGTCAATCGAACCCTAATCCGAACCCCCATCCTCAACCCTCCGTTCAGTATCCCCCATACCAACCACAACCACAACACCCTCATCTTCACCACACACAGCAAACTTATGCCAATGCAACTGGACCACCTATGTCTCCCAGTCCTGCTGGACAGGCTCCATTCCGTCCCCCATCGAATGCAAATTCACCATCTGCACAGCCTCAACCTATTCCTGGAACCGGATTACCGTCTCCCTCGAACTCATCATCAACGGGTCGTGTTCGGGGTCGGCAGTACTCGCCCCAAGTGAATCCGGCTGGTGCGATTTCACAGTCAGGCAACACCATCCAACCACAGCAACGTCATGCCTCTCCGCATCCGGTTCTGGCCGTTCAGCATTGCGCTGCGAACCAAGTAAGTTCCATTTCTTACATCACGTCACTCAGTTGGCTGCAATTCTTATTGACTTTTGTTTCAGTTCTATCTTCGTTGCCTCCCCTCGCGCATCGTCCTTCATTTGCATTTGTGTATGGCGTATTGAGCATGATCACCCCAGATTATTTGAATCGGTTTCTCGGGATCATAATCGAGTCCCTTGGCTGCACAATACCTGCTACCCACTTTACACTATCCTACTGATGCTAACGGATCACCTGTTTACTCCGACCTTATTCATCTATCGAATGAGTGAAGTAATTTGAAGTGGTTGCTGTCTTCTTTTGTTTGAATAACCTAGACAGCAAGCACTCCACTGCGTTACATTGTTTGGTAATTTTTTTTGAAATGAGTGGCCTCATTTCAGGGCACTAATTTCAATTTGTCACATTGCGAGGACATAGCGTGGCGTGCATACTATTAACCCGCTATGAAATTGAACTTGAGTGCAAACATTTGCCTCGTACAATCTCCTGGTTGCCATAACGACCATATTTCACCTTCATTGTTCTTCTCATACGCGTGCGTGTCACGTGCGGCCCAAGGAAAATGCCTGATAATTTCCTCTTCTGTTAGTCTCTTTGTTTGATCCGAGACAACTTTGTTCCACATGATCGTTGCTTGTGTAAACGTGAGCGTTTGCATATCGACTTTTGGGCTCGCTCACACTATCATATCACTACGTGATTTCCGTATCCCATCCACCGAGTGCGAGATTTAAGTACACGGCGAGTGGTCTGTTGTGCCATAACCGTTTATTTTGTGCCGACAAAATTTCAACTCTGTTTCACGAACTTGTGCAAACGTTTAGTAATCTTGTTTGTTTGCTTTGCGCTTCCCTCTCGGACGACTTTCTTCTCTGTGCCAAGAATTTCATTCTCTTTCATCATACGATGCACAGATTTGCCCTTGACTTGAATGTCGCGATCATGCGTGGGACAGAGGTTTATTCATCCTTAAACGCCAGATCAACTTACTAGTGTTAGCTTGCATGTTTCCGTGGCAATCCCATGTGCCGTTTCCCTTCTGTTTTTGCGTTTTACTCTTTTTACTGATGCACGCATATGCAGCAACATAGGTGCCCGGTCTCGAGTGTACACGTCACTTCGTATAGGACATAAAGCTGGAACCAGAATGAATCCACTCAACTTACCCTCTGTGGTTATCCGAAACCCGATCAGTATCTTTCGCTTGATGGTTTGGCATATGTTGTTTTCCATCCTGTCTTCAGTTGCAACAGGCCAGGCATACAATGATGATCATCTGATGCAACCTCGAGACAGAACTAATCACATTTTGACTCAGCGACTCCAACGGCTTTGGGTAACTTTGGGACCTATCATAACAAAATAGTTGACTGAGTGGATAGTACGGTTGACTTGATGAAAATACATTTTTAGGGTGGTGACACTGATTAACCAAAGGGGTTTGATGTTACTCGAGGAAATGATACTTGATAAAAATTCAATCGATGCACTCCCGAGACAAATAGAACTGTCCACCTGCTACTTGAAGTACCTTTCGACCAAACTGTTGTTCCTTACTGTGAATTCATCGTCTATTCTCATCACAGACTCTTTCACTAGCTAATATCCGTCCGATCATCGCCGTCGCATTTCTGTTTCAGCTCAGTTTGTGCAATCAATCATCACACATCCGTGCGGTCGACCTATCCAAAATCCGTTTTTAAGTCATTGATTGTTACACTAGCGGGTTTATGGAACGTTTTTTTACCTACCTTTTCAATTTAAAATTCCCAAAAATCGATTTATGATGTTCTAGTGTTATAGTTCCATTATTTCTAATGACCTCATGAACAACGTTGGTGACGTCTTGTGAAGCACAACAACAAACCGTTAAAACCAGATGTTCATCCAACTGACGATCAGGCTATCGATCACCAAACTCCATTCTCACACCTGTAGATAATTCGCCCCGGGTGTGAGATTCGACAAAATAGCACTAGATGCTGGCCATCTTCATCGTTTTTCGGGCGACTTTGAATGGGCATAGTTTTACTTGACAGGTCACCGTCCGCGTAGTAACAGTACAGGGCATTTTAAATTGATATCGGGACATCCTAAGTATGGAATCTGTTGAAAGCGTGGGTTCAACCAGATTGGAAAGCATCCTGACCGCCATCCGTACTGCTTTCATGCCCTCTACAATATATCTTCGGCAATCCCAGTATCCAGGATCGATATACTTTTTTTATTATACACATTTGTGTGATGAATAGCGAACGAGGCGAACCCCATAGTCACGAAGATCAGCTGGGAAACCGTTCCGGGACTTGGTGTGGTGAACCATATAAGGCACCGCTAGGTGCTAGACGTGTTGAACCGGACGGAAGCAGTTATCTTCCTCCATAGTTGGTTGGCGGTAACGGGACTCGGACCACAGGATTCAGAGCACGCCGGTGACAGCGATCACTACACCACCACCACAGTGTTGATCATGCGAATCCGTTTGGAGTTTTCAGAACCGAACATATTTCGTTTTCTAAGAGTAGTATAATCATGAAACGGTCTCTTTTTGATTGGATGATTGAATTGTGTTAGTTCATCAGATATATAATCTCTGTTGAGTTCGGCCTATCGTCACGAGGGAGACAACCGCAGTGAACTAATTTATGCTCAATCTCTGACCGATTTGGTAAGTATCTCGTTAGCTAGTGCTCCAAAATAATCAAACTATTATTTCATAAGAGGTGAGTGGGTTTTCTGCCAATGTTGCAAAGCGTCACGGGGTACAAAGAGAAACCATCAGGCAAACGGGATTGTTGAATGAGTACTAATGTAGCCTATTGGCTTGTTCGACCTTTGGTTAATCAATGTATCTCTAGTGTTAACCGCGTTCCAGTTATGCATAATGAATAAACAACATATCGACCATTGGCTGTGCATGTGTCTCTCTGTGTATATCATCATTTTCAATTGGGCTTTTCTGGAATAAAAATACCATTCCTTTGATTCATTGCGTACAATTTTCTGCACCGCACGCTTCTGTCGTACGAATTGTATCTTACTCTAACGGGGATTTGCTGAAGAAACCGTTATCGTAGTGGCTAACAATGCAGCGAATCATTTTCACCTTAAAGTTGCTCGATTATTGAAACAGACCAGGTACACAAACAAATAACGCGTTCTTGGGCACGGAACAAGGGGGGTTGATTGGTTGGGATAATTGGTGTTTGTTGTTTGTTCAGCAATGATTTGCCAATACAAATGTGTCTGGCGACTGTGTACATTGATCCCACAATGGTGTGAGGTGGTGATGATGATGTTGATACGATGTTGATCCGTTCGGATTTGTTGTTTCGCAGTGTAACGCATTACCCGAAGCGCAACACAACACGAATGAGAATGGCGTCTTACCAACATATCCACCCGACTTTTATACTTCCCTACTTTTCATGCGCTCAGAATTGGCTGAAATGGAGTGATGGATGATCGGGGCAGGGATTGAATTGTTGCTGAGTGGGTGTAACGTGGTGAAATCAGTTTTATTCATGATTTTGAGTGATTTTCATGTGAGATCCAACGTGTTGAGGTGGGAGGGGGGGGGGGAAG